GACCACGTCGCTGAATCCAGACTTTTTCGGCAAAATCTCGACTGGGGAGGAACTTCAGCCGCATTAACCCTAATCGGTTAGAAAACAGAGCCTTACAGATCAACTGGGTTCCCGAAGAAGTGCACCATTCATAGAACAGCGATGGGACATAATCAGAGATGTGATTGTTCAACCTCTCTCCATTGCACCGCAGTAGCCATATCATTAAGCCCCACTGGTAGCGTCGGAAAATTAATTGGACAGTAAAGAAGCGCAACGATTTTTGGAAGTAGTTTTAGGAGTCCGGAAAGTTTAGACATTGACTACATTATAAGAGATGACGGAACTTGGCTGTCATATTACAAATACATGAGGAATACTGCTATGAGATTGGGTTAGCTCAGAATTCAAAGGTAAGGCCGAGGATATATTATAGTTATGTTCAGTCGAAAGTTTCTTTGTGAGGTCGGTAACTTACTGACGGAGGACGGTAGTTTTACTACAGAAGATTCGGAAAAGGAATAGGAATTACTGCGCGTTGTGAGAATGTCCCCTCGCAGTCTCATCGTCAAGTTGAATGCATAATGCCAAATGATCCATTAATTGCTTGGTGTTTTGGTACGGTTGGACCTCTACGAATCGGCTGGACCTCTAGCGGTCATGGGTTCGATCCCCATTAGGGGACCGAGGGGATGCACACCACTGACGTGCCCCAATAGGACGAAACGCGTCCGGTGCTTTCCCGGTCTACGCTGTGCTATGTAGCTTATGAACTGTCGGGATGAATACCTTACCAAAACTACAACTAAAATCCGGCTACATACGAGCATACTGCAGTCCTCAAGCCTGTTCAGCATGTCACTTCGGGAAGGTAGGATGCCACAAAGCTGGGAGGAGGAAGCTTTATACCGATACACTAAGGGGCTCTAAATCAGTCCCTGTCAGCCTCACCAATGTTTTGGTTATATGCCTGGAAATGCTTATCAGGAACCGAATTTGTTGGCACTTAGTCACTCATAACTTGATAGGAGCGGAGCAACACGGCCTCGTCAATAAGGTGTCATGCCTCACTAATCTGCTGTGCTTTTTGGATGAGATAACCCGCTGTCTCGACGATGCGATTTCATTAGAAGTTTGCTATTTAGACTTCCGTAAAGTTTTTGACTCCGTTAACCATCGTTTCTTACTGGAATATCTGGCATGGTTTGGGGCACATTCCCAACTATTGAATTGAATAGCAGAATTTCTTCTCAGGAGAACCTTATGTGACAGAGTTGATGACTGCAGCTTAAGCACATGCACCACTCACATTGGTGTTTCCCAGGGTTCTGTTCTAGGTCCACTATCGTTCATTTTGTACATAAATGACTTGGCTCCTCTCCCTTAAAACTTTCTATATTTTGCGGACGATGTAAAACTCCTAAACAGTGGTGATCTCAACGCGCTATCGAGAGACCTTTGCACTGAGGCGCGGTAGTCTTCCTTTTGGGACTTGGCTCTTAATGCCAGAAATGTCAACTATTATCCTCCAATATCAATTGGATTACAGTACAAACCACTGGTGGTACTTTGGCGTTTGGTTGCGCTAGTGAAACACGTGATCCGAGTGTCATTGTGCCGAATAACTTTAAACCCTCAGCACAATATCAGCATCCGCCAACAAGGCGTGACAGGAGCTATTCAGTCTCAGGAGAGCGTTATGCAATGCCCAACATGACGTTTTCCCTTCCTTATATAAAGCGGTTGTACAGCCTCACTTGAGCACCGTATCTCCGGAAGGATGTTGCTTGCATAGCAAATGTCCATAAATTAGCGACTAAGATGCTTGAAAACTAGCGTAGGAAGTATTATGAACGCCTTTGTAGCCTGGGGTTGTTTTCCATGGAGCGGCGCAGATTAAGTGGTGACCTGATAGAAATGTTCGAGATTATGAAGGACCTCATTGGTATTAAGTCTTCCGATCTACTTGAACCGGTTGCATCCGATCACCCTGCGGAGGTATTAAGCTAGAAATGAGAGCCAAATTCTGAATTGTATGGTCCATAGTTGGAACAAGCTTTCTTCAGCATTAATGGGAAGTACCAGTGGAGAAGCTTTCAAAAAAGACTTAGATAAGTGTTGGTCGGATCTATTCCCAGAATTAGTGTAAGTTTATTGACAATTGTCACAGTCCTCGTAGTCCATAATCCAAGAAAATACAGAGGTTGCTCTTGTTTCCTGCATCGTTTTTGCATAGACAAGGGAACCAACTTGGCACAAGAAACAGGACGCTCGTTAGGCTGTAGCCTATTTCATCCTTGGTGCCTGACCTGACCTGATCTAACCTGTAGTTGACGCCCAGACTGAAGAATGTTTATGGCGATTTCTGGATTCTCATCTGCTGAGTAGGCAGGGACCTTGCTACTTCCACTGTACCTGTTACGGTTTCTTGTGGAATACCACTTTGCAACGATTCGTGGTTTTCGCGCAATGATAGGAAAGTGATGGAGCTGGCAAAGGATTCCCCTACTGCTTGAGCAATGATCTATACAATCCAATAATCTGACTCTTGACAGGATGGCGGTAGGACAACTCGTAAGGAGATGTTTGCGGCATCTGTTTCACTCTGACTGATTGCTCAAGCTAACGATGTTCTCATTACATTACCTTCTTCGTGGCGATTTGGTTTTCACATATCATACATTGTCAGGGCAAATCGACCCAGACCTATCTTGCTTTTGTCATTCTACTCTTTGTGGGCATCCGTCGAAGTTGCACCATTATCAACATTATGCACGTTAGCTAGAGGTGGAAAGCACAGCTACTGTGCCGCAATACATAACAGAAGAAAAGAAAAAATGCAACAGATGCATCCAAACCGAGCTACCGGTAACGGACGGGTATTGTTCTGGAAAGGTACCAGCCGGCTACTATACAGCGAAAAAATTTATTATGCAAAATTATATTATTCTAAGGGATGAGATCGCGGTTGGAGGGGAGGCCTAGAGGGATGAGAAGGGACAAAGAAACTCACAGCACCAATGCCACTGAGATCGGCTCTTAGCCATGTCAGCAAGTGTATCCAGCCAAACGTGTTCATCGTCTTTCGGACCCCAACCAGGGAGCCGAGGCCAGCTTGGAAGTGACGGCTTTCATTCCTCTCGACCAAGCCATCGCTTGGCCGTCTCTCCTCTTCCATCCAGATCCCTGACGGGCAAGCAATTCACGTCGCAGGAGCTGGTGGGCTGGCATGGGTAACAGGTGGCCGAGCCATCGGAATCTGGTGACTGAAATGACGGTGCTGAGCGGCTCATTTCTTTTCTTTGCCGTAAACAAGGCGTCAAACACGTACGTTGCCCACGCGGTATTCCCACCAGATGTGAGCGAAACTGCGTAGGCACCAGTGGCCGAACGGAACTAGCCTCATTATGTCGGTTGATCTAAGGGGCCAGGTCAAAATTTCACAAATTCTGATCTGATCGGGTTCGGGTTGACATTCGTTTGTCATGCAGAGTGATAGATTCCTGGAACGTCGCTTTGTCTCCCACGGTGATAAAGTTCAAACTTTGTTTCTATACCCTCGACCTGCGGTTCCGAATATCCTTACTTACTCTTACTAAATATATCTATTTTTGTTATTGCTTAGGCGCACTCTACCTTAACGTCTCTGCCACAGTAAGGGTTTATGACAAATTCTTTGTCCTTCGCTATCAATAGGGGTGTGCGACAGGGCTGCTCTATGTTCCGTTTCTTTTCAATTTTGCGATTGAAGACGTCGTCTCGAGAACTCTGGAAGGTTATCAGAACTCTGGCTTGCAGATACTACCAGGTAAGCGAGCGACTGGCTTAGACTATACTGATGACATTGCCTTCTTTGGTGATGACACGTAAAGTATGCAGATCACTAAACTGTTCGGCGGTTGAGGCATCTAAATACGGAATGTGCTTCGCCCCCTCGAAGTGTAAGGTGCTGCTCCAGGATTGATACTCGTCTGTTTCTGTGCTCACTCTTGAAGGTATACATCTTGAACACTTGGATAGCTTTACCTGGGTAGCTACCTGTCTGCTGATAATATCGTTAGAAAGGAAGTTTCCCTCCACATTGCCAGGGCTCGGTCGGCTTTTGTCAATCTGAAACACTTGTGGCGTCGTCGCGATGTATCCATCTTCGTAAAAGGTCGTGTTTATTAATGCCACCGTTCGGGGGTGTTGCTTTGTGGAAACGAATCATGGCCAGTTCATGTAGATAACATACACCGGCTCTCGGCCTTCTACAATGGGTGCTTGAGGAGGAGGCGGCAACAACGTATCTGCAATGGAAATCAAATGCTGCCTCAGGAAATGCGAGTGTTCCCTTCATCAAGCGGTTTTTCTACGCCAGTTGCGATTGCTCGGACACGTCTTACGCATGGCGCCTGAGTGTTTGCCGCGCCGCGCTCTATTCGCTCGTTTAGGACCGGGTTGGTGGCGACCGCGTTGTGGTCAGCCTTCCACTTGGCGACAGCATATGAAATGCTTGACTCCACCTCTTGCTGCCGTTGGATCCAAGCGCTTGCCTGGTGGGGGACTAGAAGACGAACAGTGCTGTTTACTCGAAACAAATCAGAATAGAGCGCTCAATCAAAATAAGTGGAGCTTCTTTGTACATACTCGTTTAGATTCAGATGCTTAATACTTAACAACTGAAAAAGACAATAAACGTGAGAATGACGTGTGCAAACGTAACGAAAAAGGCTGTTTTTTTCTTGCAGCGCGATAACCGAAGTGTGTTGACCACCTTCCGCTAATGTGTCTTGACGACGACTATGATTCTAACTGACCACGACGTGATCTGTACATGCTGATTTGGCTGCCACAGCTGGCCAATCATCACCGAGTTCTACCGTGAATCAACGACGCATTCAGGTAGGAATGACCATGGGAATCTACTTTTGTTCATGTTCTATAAGAATTTAACTACGCTTCTCTCTGTTTTTAGCCCCTACATGATCTGGCACAGTGTATGACCCAGAGTTCTTAAACTGCATTTTGAGACCGCAGTTATGCTGAGTCAGCGGCGCCCTCTACTATGGGTATGCCTGCTTTTTGTATCCGGTGGCTTGCTGTGTAACCTCATTGCATTTATTCTGCCTTATTGGTTTGCACGATTCCCCAATTCGAAGAACCGGTTCTTACGCCTGGGTCTCTGGGAGATTTGCTTACAAGAGTACATGCCGCACGATCTCGGGAACTTTATGTACACTGGGTGCTTTTATCTGTTTGATCCTCAAATCCACGCACTGCGACCTAATTTTATGAGAAGTAAGGAGCCTATTGCTATGGATAACTTACCGAATTACAGCGTGGTTCCTCGTTTGCCAAATATTTTATACCCTCTGCTTTATCTCGTACGTGGTGGTAACCGTGGTTCTACTCTCTCAGGCTGTGAATCTTGTGTCCCCACGGGGACCCCGGGCTGTTCTATTCGGTATAGTTACCAGCGGTTTGACCTGTAAGTCCTTTGACATATTTCTGTTCACTATATTCGTCATACGCAAAAATATTCTTGTCTCCACTTCATCTGTTGAGAGGTACACACCCGGATTAACCTAAGCTCGGTAATTTTAACTACCTCAATTTTTTAGCCCGCAGTTCTACTATCTAGGTGGTTGACACATTGTGCGTGGTGGTTCTAGTCGGCAATACTTTGGCTTATGTGGTAGCAATCCGCGATGACTGCAGGAGCTTTAGGGGTTGATGACCGCAGGGTAAAAATTTCAAGACAGAAAGCAACCTTCACACCGGTACTTCGCGTGTTCACGTGACAAGGATCAATGTAACAGTTATTTACTCCATAGTCAATCAATAAAGAATTCACATCTCTCGGTCATACCCATTACTTCTTTTATGTCCTTTAGTACCAGACATCCGAACACACTGTCGGGAGTTCTCGCGCAGAGTAAACAAATTGGACTATATACGAGTGAGCAAACTCAGTGGCAAAGCCCTTCATCGTCTGAAACATCTGTCGGAATAGGGGTGTTGCCAGCGTACGTCCCTCCTTGCCACGCACACATTTGCCAGTAGTGTGGTACCAACGGCAGTAGCAATGATTTGCCAGCCATCTTTTCTCACTCATAGAATTACCTAAAATCATCTTTACTGACGTATTCGGTTTAGCGAAACAGACACTGTGTTCAAATCGCGTCACAAAATGCACTAATTCTGTTTTGTTTCCAAACCAGGCATACTCCTCTTGGTCACACTTACTGTTATGGGAGCCGGAGTGGATTCCGAGAGCAAGCGCAAACCGGCCGCTCAGCAGGACTGGCTTCAATCACTGGACCAATGCAGCTTGTCTTGGTCTTATGGACTTGCTGCTTGCTCTATGCCGGGAAGTCTTTTGACCTTCGCCATTCTGAGTTGCTTTGTCTATCCCAAACGGTATGTCGACTCATCGTTTCCGCGCCCGATATTCTGTTACGTAATGCGCCAATCCGCCCTTACAGAACTGCGTAAGTATCCGATATCTCATCATTCAATTTAAAAAAACTTACGCTGCAAACTAACATTAGTTTGTTAAAAGCATTCATTGTTTGAATGGGTTACAACACGCGGTATCATTTCGGCTTAAAATTATTTTGAACTGAATATTAGCCAATTCGCTTACTGGGACCGTATCTGAAACAAAACACTGTTTAGGCATAGATAGCAGAACTGCGGCTGCAACCCGGGATGTAGATATTAGAACTGACGCCTTTACATCCTGGAAGGAGGAACCAAATCGGTTGTGGAATACTGTGTTGTGAGCGAGCAATCTTCGAGTTCTTCCCTGATTATCGGATTTTAGAGCACATGAGCATGTTTGTATTGTTTTCTGCCCCACCTTCCGATGTATCCGTTTTCCTTACGCATTCTCCACTACAACACGCGGCCACTAGAGTGTTCCTTCTACGGTACTGCAGCGACGCACTGTTGCTTCTTGATTTAGCCGCCCAGTCTGCTGTGCTGGATCGGTCATAGGTGAATAACGACTAACATGCGGTGACCATCTATCTATGGCGACCAGCCAAAAACATCCCTAGCGTTTTCTTCCATGGGTAATGTCCTTATGCATGAACCTGTCTATAGCGACAATCTATCCCAGGCGACCACTTTTTGTCTGTCCCTTGCGTGGTCGTCTTAGACAGGTTTGACTGTATTAATCTGCTTATGCCATTTCATCCTTCCACTAATCCTCGATGAATGGGTATTTTGTCCAGCAGTGTGGACATCTAAGACAAGTTTCACAGCGCCGCGAATTAAACTAGTAGTTCAATTAACCTAATCTTTTCTCCAGTGATCATCATACTGCCTTGGCGAAGCTGCTCTTTCTCCTTCTCATCACTGTCGTCACCTCCAGCATTACTTTACTCACCATGGCGATCCCTTGTTCACCATGATCATCATTACACATCAGTTGAAGGGGAAAATCACACACCAGCTATTGTGCCGCAATACGGAGAGATATAAATGGAAAAGCGGGAGACTAAACATTGTAGAATACACAAAACAGGTGACCTGCTGCTTAGTAACATATAGTACTTCAAAACAGATCGCGGTTGGGGACGGGGGAAAGGTAAACACGATGAGAAGGAACAAAGAAACAACACAAACGCCACTGAATTCTGTTCCTTGTTATGTCAACAAGTGCCTCAAACCAAACGTGTTCATCATTTTTCGGTCCCAAGCCCGACAGTCGGGAGATACCAAGCGACGCCAAGTTCGAAGGGAGGGCCTTCATTCATCTTGACAAAAATTTCGCTTAGTCTCCCCTCCTCGTTTTCCATCCACACCGCGATCACGCAAACAACGCACGCCGGTTGAGTCTGTTTGCTGGCATGCGCAGCATGTGGCCCAACCATCGAAGCCTGATGTGTTCTGTTTTCCTTCACTTATCTTCATCTTATCTACCGTAATTCCATAGTAATAAGGCTGGGCGTTAACGTAGTGCGGGGTGGTGCGTGCTTCAGCGATGCATTTAGTTGTATTGGGTGTTGCTTTCGATACCTTCAGAGCCAGATTGGGCAATAGTTAAAGGCCAATCAAACTTACTCTCCTGTTGCAATAAGTGTGGCTCCTTATTCCTTTAAACAGACTCATTGTGACCCACGATAAAACTCGATGCATTGCGCTCAGGTTTTTGAACCATTGCTTCGATTGAAAATTCAAACTATTATCCTGTCTAGGCTTGTGGAACCTGGCTGTTTCCTGCCACAATACAATGAGAATTTCTTTAAACCATTTATTGATAATTTGCTCGTCTTAGAAACTAATCGATAGCTTCCTACATGCCTCACCGAGCGTGGTAGATATTGGTGGGGATGCTATTTCTCAGGCCTTCCCGTCATTTTACTCCCCATTTCTGGTCTTTATCATTATGTTCAAATGTCACTTTTACCCCCTTCTTTTCAACCTCCAGCTTTTAGACTCTCATCTGACTTTGGTATACGTTTATCTTCTATTTTTGACTCAAACGCATTCGGTCAGTTTCCGACCGAGTAGAAAACCTCATTTCATCTGTTTCCACTTGAAGCCCTCGATTTTCGCTGAGACTGACATGTCTCAGCCTGCGCATCTAGTCTCAATCATGAATTCATTCTACGCGTTATCTAAAAGTAGGAAATACTTACTTTCGCAATCTAGTGTATTAGGATATTCAAAAGGAAGGATAAAAAATAGACACTACTAATATTATGCTTCTGAATGTTATACACCGACAGTGCGATCGTCATTGGTGTTAAAGCTATGCGTGATGGGAAGGAACAAAGAACCAACAGGAACACCACTAGAACCGGTTCTTCGCCATGTCAGCAAGTACATTTAGCCAAACGCGCTCATCGCTTTTCGTACTCAAACGCGGGATTTGGAGGATTCCAACCTAAGCCATATTTCAAATCAGAGTTTTCATTCATCCTGATCGTCGGCCGGTGGCCGAGTGGTTGGCACGTTTGCTTTCCAACCATAAGGTCACCGGTTCGAATCCGCGTAGGGGTGGGCGTCCTCGCGGTATACTCAGCCCGCGCGCGACTGGTGGTGGTCGCGCGGCAGCGAAGCGCCGTTACGGCGTATAAGCTGACACACACATTCATCCTGACCTAGTCATCGGTCTGCCTCCCCTCTCTTTCTATTCTGACCCCGGTTTCGCAAACGCACGTCGTGAGCGTCTGTGTGTTAGCATGTGTAACACATGGCCCAGTCATCGAAAGCTGGTATGCGAAAGAACAGTGCTGAGATGGTGACCTGCTTCTCTTGCACCAAATTCAAAACACCGAACACGCTTTTTTCATGCACTGTTCCCACCAAATGTGATCTAGCCCCGTAGCCTAGAGGTAACGAGCTTGTTTCGTAATCTTGCGGCGCGGGTTCGAATCCACGTGGGTGGTGGGCGTTCTCGCGGTATACTCTGTCCGTGTGCGACTGGTGGTGGTCGCAGGGCAAAGAAGCACCGTTACGCCGTACAGCTGACATTATTATTTTTATTACAGGCGATCTAAGGTGACCAACATCTTTATGTCTGTCACCCTAATATGCCAGGTTTTGTAACCGTACAGTAGATTGCATGGACGGTTGCATTGTTCACTCTACTCTTAGGGTTAAGATTGATGTCGTGGTAGCGTCCTAAGTGTTCAAAATTGACAAGAACATCTCAAGTTTTTGCCACACGATTCATGATCTCGTCTTCTACTCCACAGGTTCTGATATGGCTACTCAGATAGGATATGGTCCTTACCGATCTTGGAGGAAAGCTTTACGATTGATCTGTGAAAAGCAGAGCCCAGAACGACTGACAGCCAGTACTAATGTGTCCACTGTTGCTTGATACGTCCGTGAGGTGCTACGAATTAGGTTAGTATCATCAGTATAATCCAAGTCAAGAAATCGATCATCTGGATACAGCTTCGCACCTTGTACGTAGTGCCTAGTGAACGCATTTTCATAACTTCATAAGTAGCGAAGTTGAAAAGCAAAGATGACAGTGGGCATCATTGTCCTACGCCGCTGGAGATATTGATGGGCGACGACAGTTTCTATGAACCCTCCCTCTGCTCGGAATTGACGCATAAAGCCCTCTATTGATGCTTACATATTTGTCAGGCACACATTTCCTGATCAGTCGCGATGGGCACATTGATCAATCGAATCGAATGCACTTTTGGTCTTGGGGAACACGAATACGGTGCTCCGCCAAAATAAGTAGCGGTGCTCCACAAACTTGCGCAAAGAGAAGCCGTAGTTAATACAACCCCGATTTCAACGAAACCTGATTTACCTTTTACGTATCTGAACACGTCTGTCCGTCAACATATGGAAGATGACAGAAGCAAGAAACTTGGTGGCGATAGGACTGTTACCTCTACAACTGTCGCATCCCAGACACTAACGTTCCCTGAAATTCGTGTAATGGAGCAGATCTAGTCGCTTGGGACAGTATCCTTTTCCTACAGTTTATCCGCAACAACTGGTCCTCCGAATCTGAATAAAACTGGAGGGGGGCCATTTAGCCATGCCTCCCTATACAATTTCAACACTGGTCTCACCTTTGACTCCCGCATTAGACAGTATATCCAATCTGTTATTAAAATTGTGATGACAAGAAACTTTCCTATCCGACTGAAGCTGCTCCACTATAGTCCCACTTTTCAAGGGGACTTTACGTTTGGAGTTCGTCAATTTTGTGAGTACCAGTCTGATCCGTCTTTCCCCATAGAATAATTGGCGCCAATGGTAGCCAAATTCGTGTAAAATAAGCCGGGTTTAATAGAAATCGAGGCTGTATTGCTTACACTTTCACTTTACGTCAGTGACTGAAACGTCACCACGTTTACTGCCCATCCACCCTAGTCGGGTTCTTCACATCAAAAGGGTCTTCGACTCCGTTGGGATTGTTTGCTTAGGAAAGGTATGTCCGATAAGGACTTGAGAATCTTTAGCGCGGCTTGCGAATTAAGTTTGGGCCGAATGACAATCTGTCCTTGTCTTTCAGTATCTTCGTCGCTGTGAGAAAGGGGTGCCGTTTAACTTTGATATTGACAACACAATTGAGAGTGCATTCATCAGACACAAGTTAGGATAGAGTACGTCGACGATATTATCCTAGTCTTTGACAGCTCGCAAACGTGTCAGGCAACGCTAAGCAGATTAGCACTGGCTGTCAATAATTTTGGACTGTGTTTGCCTTAAAAATGCAAAGCTTTCATCAAATCACCCGTACGCTGATCTTAGCTGGGAATCAGCTAGAGCTCGTTCCGAAATTAAACGAAATGGATTGGAAGGTGGGGTCCCAAAGTGTGCAGCTAAAGTTCGTGCTTCTACAAATGACGCCTGCGCAACACCACACTAGCCCCGAATGATAGAGATCACAGTGCAGCCGATCATTCAGCCTTAATGTGCGGTTGCGAAAC